TGCTGCAAACATGTTGGCAATCATGTACAGGCATGACTGGCTGTCAGACATGATGTGCAAGTGGCCAAGGCGTATGGCACAGTAGAGTGCTGACAGCTCACATTGGTTCACATTCTTTTCGTGCTGTTGGGGCCCTGTAGGATCAAAGAACAATGACACCTCATGATGAGTGCTGCCCCGCGGCGCGTAGCACGCGGCGCCGAGCATTGCATGTGATTGCCCTTCTACAGCAGGGATGTAGCTGCCATCAGTGTAAGCGTACGTCTGCCAATTCCTCGCCTATGGAGGGGGTGCCCCTAGTGCAGTTTCCAGGTCAGTCATTGTCGGCACCTCCAGGTGCGCCGGGGCCATGGGGGTCACGGCGCAGTCCCATTCAAGGTTCCTCATGTTTTCTGGCAGGCGGGCCTTTGACTTGGGCGGGGCGTCGTCACCAGCGTCCTTGGGCGTTACGAAGGGGCAGGTGTCATGTGTGTTCCACAGGTCTCGGATGCTGTCTGGTGTGATCTCATGGCCCGGCCGTGTCAGCGCCCCGGCCACCGCTTTCAAGATGCGCTCGCAGCAGCAGTCCGCTGGGAAATATCTGTCATAGCCTGCCTTGTTGCCCACCACCACCAAATTGAGTCCATGTGGGGGTGTGGACGCTATCTCCTGGTGAGACCTGTGGCCTTTGCAGGGGAGTGCGGCGAAGTGCATGTAGCCCGCAGGGATGTGCATCAGCCTGCGGCACTCTTGGGGGTGGTGTGTCAGGTAGTAGTCATACTCTTCTGATGTTGGGCATCTGCAAGTAGGTGCACCGTCAGGGTGGGTGTTGCCGTGTGTCTGGATGAGTGGAGGGACCAACGGACGGCCCTTTGCGCTGCTTGTGGTGTGGCTGGGGGGATGCTCATTGACGCACCTGTCCAGAGGACGCTGTGCGTGTCGATTCGTGCCCCAAACGGCGCGTCAGACGCATGTGCGCTCCAGTACTCAATAGCTGTCGGCAGGACAGTGAGAGCGTCAGTGTACCGCTCTTTTGTACAGCCAGACACTGGCACGCGCATTGCACTAAACGTCACAACACTGCTGTGCGAATACTGGCGACAGGTCTCAAGCACAACACCTCAGCGCTGCACCTGCACTCATCAGTTGTTGGCAGCACGGATGACTGCACAGCAGCCAAGTTGACCCGCAATCTCCCCCGCAGCATTGGGCCACAATGGCTGCCTGCAGGCACCTCCAATGAAGACAGAGCCAGGCTCGGAGCCCTCAAACCTGACATTGCCCTTGTGAAGGAAAGCAGCAGGTAGGCGCCGCAAACGGGACGCCGATACCCCGCCGAACCGCAAAATCCACCTGTTTGAGGGGAAATAGGGCAGGGTCGCATGGCCAGAATGACAAGAGCAGAACGCTCAAGACCAATACGTCGAGCTCACACAGGTCCTGCAGTCGAGCCCAGGTCAAAACGTGAAGCTCCAGTCCATTGTTCTAGGTGTCGGAGGGACAATTTACAAGAACACAGCCAGAACTGCTGAAAGACCTGGGGTCCCACACAAGATCTTGACATCCACACTGCAACAGCTGCACACTCATGCAGTAAACACCCTGCATCACACCATACATACAGGCGCGCAGAGCTATTGAACATGGCCCTGGAGGGCTTGGGAAGAAGCGCAGACGCGCACCGTCAGGAGTGACATAGGGGGACTGGCCCCCTCCCCATCACTTTGGTGGGGGGCGGGGCGGCGGCGCGGTGGCCTCGGCCCCCGCAAGCCAGCCCCCCTTTCCTCAATTTACGCCGGCGTAACAGCCTGTGTAGTCTCTCTCTCTCTCTCTGCATCCCCCTTGCCCGGGGTCAGCAGCCAGGCATGGAGATTTGGAATCCGGGCCACCAGGCTGCACACCTCTGGGTGCGGGTTCAGGTGCCGCGTATACGTAAAGTTTTGCCCCATGTCTGGCAGCAGGAGGAGTGCTGTAAGTGCAGGCTCGTCATCACTGGCGGCTTGGGCCGACCGAACTGCTCAGGCTACAGCCTTGCTGAGTGCCGCGCCAGTGCCTAAGCTGTTAGTGGCAATTCGGCTGGATGTGCCCTGCCATGATCGCCCCTGGTATTAGGTTGGGAGCAGCCAGACGGCTCAGCAAGTTACTGAGCTGTCTCATCTGTTGATTGTTTGTATACCACGACTACTGGCCGTGGTGGTCATTTTTTAGGCGGGACGGTCAGTCCTGGCTCTGCCAACGCCGACGCTAGGTGGAAACTAACCTCGGTTTGTTTTTTTATCTCTCCTCTCCATCTGCTCAACCTGATGGAGGTCAGCAGCACAAAGGCCGGCCATCTATACAGCCAGCTCTGCCCAAGTCTGGCGAGGGCACGCAGCTTGCTGCAGCTGCTCCTTCCCTTTCTAGATACAACGAAAGGTAGGGCACTGCTGCAATGGGGTGGTCAAAAGGGGACGATGTGCGAAGTCGTGCCATGGCATTGTAATTACAATGCAAATGCACATGAATGCACAATTTTCTAGCTGCACAGTTTATGCCAAGCTGCATCTTGTATTGCGTGCCGTGTGTTGTGTGTGTTGCTGCGGGTGTAGGTCTCGTTGGGAGCCAGATAACTTGTGTGGTTGTCCCGCCTCTTGTAGAACCAATCAACATACTGCTTTTCGAGGATCTTGTTGCTGTCTGATGATTTAGAGCGACAGCACCGCTCTTCAGTATAGTCAATGGGCAGAAAACCTGAAATCCATCCTCGTTGGTGGTATGCTCGCCAATTCAACTCATGGTCATCATACTGTGTGATAACACCCATGTAGTGGACTTCATCTAGATATCCAAGAGTCTGCAAATAGCTTGCTCGAATAATCAAAGGTCCTCGATTGCCAGAGTCTGCTTCAAAGAAAAAACATCTGCTATTGCGGCTGTGTGCTTGCACAGCAAGTGAATCTGAACATTTGGGACCAAAAAGCTGTCCAGCGGTTGGGTACCCATGCGCGCATCTCATGCTCACAGAGAACACCTGGGGCCATCTCTTCAGAGGATATGCTAGCTTCTCATTCCAACCAAACACTGTCATCAGCTGATCATCATCAACAAGGATATAAAACGGGGATCTGCTTGCCAGCATTTTCATGTTGTCGGATGCAGTCGCAAACAGCCCTACGCCCGACGTGTTGATGAACCGCAACCTCACCAGAGATGGCGGCTGGAAAACGCACTCAAAACCAATGTCTCCTTGGTTGCCTGTGATATTGATACCCTGTTGCCAAACTCGGCCTGTATCCAGACTGTCAACAGCATAAGGGCATACTGGCCACGAGGAGCTGCGAGCGATCACATCACGGGCCACTGCATAACTATCATCTGTGCAGCCATCAAAGTTGATGATCAGCTCATATGGAGAGGTAGTGAGTTTTAACAACTGGACTATCACGAGTCGAAGCTTTGAAGATGGATTGAAGGCATTGACAAGTATACTGAACTGTGGCGGCTCTGCGCTGTAATCGACCGCCATTGCCAAACACGAGTCACCAAAATTGGATGGTCGCAGCGACGGTGTGAACACCAACGAATCGCGTGTACGCATGAATCGGCAGACAGAAGCTCTGGACAGATGAGACGTGACGTTTGCGTTGGCGCAACATTCACCGTGTGAGAAGGTTGCGTGCGTATGTTTATCTGTCACACCTGCAAAGCCATACATTGAAGGGATAATGCATTATTGCTTGCTGTGATGCAATTTGCAGCCACTCACGCGTGCTGCAGTATGTGCGTGACGTTCGCAAGCAAACCAGCAGCGCCATCATTTGCTCGACCCTGTCCTGTTATTATCAGCATCAATGCGCGCAAGAATCCAGCCTACGCATGACACTCATGATTACCAAACAAACCAGCCAACAGCAGCCAATCTGAATAGCCTGGCCCCAACCCTAGAGGATCGCACAGTGCTCACAGGCAGTAGGCCTAAAGGTCCGCAGTGGCCAGCTACCACGGCTGATGTAGACGAAAAAGGCAGAAAGTGACAGCAACACCATGAGTCCGTACACCCTCATGATTTCAATTGTCTCGAACTCTTGAGTATAATTTTTGAGTATGAAGCAAGCAGCACGCACACCTGGCAGCGTTCAGGATGCATCTAGAAAAATATATGAACTGCGCCGCACGGTTAAGTTGCTGGGGTTCGCATACGGTGCTCGTACACGAGCTTTTCATGCCGGTATATCAAACGTAATGCGGTACGCTGCCATAACTGTAGTACAATGGAAAATAAACAATAACGAAAAGAAATACCTTATCTCAACTGCATTGAGGCCCATTTGCCTGTACTGATATCCATACCGGTGCCACACCAAGAGTGAACAGAAGAGTGTGTGCGTCAGCTCAAGTGATGCAATAACATGTCTTGAGGGTTGAGGTATGGACGAAATTCCGTCGTCGAGGTATACCTCTACTCTTTGTCTTGGGAACGGTTTTTTGGCCCCAGTCACACCGGCGGCTCAAGCAAGACGCGTCAAGCTGCCTCGCTCAGACGGCCTGCCGCATATCTACCGCGCAGGTGATTCAGTACCGGTAGAGCGGGTACGGGCAGGGATTCCCCAATCGCTTTGAGCACACTGATGCTTGCCACACCTGCCGTGTGTGGTGTCTACGGTGGTGACCACTCTAGGCGCCCCACGGTAATCGCCCCTCTTTAGTGCATGCATGCTACGACTTAGTTTATCTGTATGTATTGGGAACGCGATATCCTTCAAGAACCTTTTCTCTGAGGATTGCCAGGACACTTGACCGATCGCCCCCGCCCGGGGTAAATCAAGGTGAACAAGAAGCCCCCACGCGGCCCCGACTCCCGGCCCTCCAGCCTCTAGCTAACCACTGAGTCCGAGGGAGAGAGAGAGAGAGAGAGAGAGAATCTACGCTGTACACCTCGCATGCCCCGAAGGACTCGCTCAACCGGTGCCGCGTGGGATTAAGGAGCACGGACGTGTGTGGTGAGTCACGTCCGCGACTGCGGGCCCTCCCCCCCGGATCTCACGACGTCCCCCGAAGGAGACCCCATCACCCGGTACCACTTTGAGCCCTTACTCCCTTGAACGAATGGCACTGCATTGAATACAGTGTGTGGTCACCATTCGTTAGGAGCTGCCCCTACCATGGGGCCCCTGTTCTAGCCGTTTGCAATGCGGGTCGGGGCTTGAAATCTACCGCGAACACGCCCCCTGTTGTCCCGAAAATCGGAACTCATGTCATCACGGGGAGTCGAACCCAAGACCTAGGGATTAGCAGCACAAGGCGCTAACCCGTTAGGCTGTGATGCCGGGGGGACTGAGTCCGTAAAGTTCCTACAGTTTGGGCATGCAGCGGGTGCATCAGCTCCAATATCCCCCCCCCCCCAACATACAAATATGAGCTGACTGGGGCGCCGG